CAGGAAAACTGTTAAATAAGAGTAACATTAAATACTCTTCAATCCTCGGGCACCTGCTACTGTATTGAGGATATTTGGTTGAATATAATCCGTTAATGAGCCTCATAATTAATAGGTCAGTAAATTCCACTGATCAACTCATCTCTATTGGTGGATAAGTAACTGAAGCCATAGAAGCAGTGCTGTTAAATGCTAGTAGTAAAGCTAATAGAATTATCAGGTACATTTATGGAAATATTGATTACAACTCAAAAGAGGTAATAGATGTTTTTGCCCTGATGAATGTTAAATATAAGATAGTAGGTACTAAATTAAGCTTGATGTTCGATTATTAAAAGGAAATAGGAAGACGATGAGATAAGTTGGTTTCGATGATTAGTCTTACTTGTGAGAGAATGTTCCGATGCAAAAGAAGAAAAAAAAAGAGCACTATGTTTGGAATAATTTAATTTTCAGATGATTGTCGTTGATGTGAAAAAGATTTTTCATTAATTATTTTTTTCTTTTATGCACATTGCACACCTGATAATTGATGTACAACCTTTGGGATAAAACTTAGCATGGGATTATATTAGTTCAACTAAAAACAATGGTTTAATCAAAAGTTTTAGAAATATTTTGTTGGGTGAGAGGCTTTTTAATTTTTCAATCTTAACTTTCACTACTTAACCTAACATAGGATGCAAAAGTACAGGACAAGAAGGTTATTTGTTAATTCCAATTATAAGCTAATCCCTTCTAAAGCCTGAACATGTTCACTGGTCTGTCAGAAGGTTTGTTATTATGAAACCAAAAAGGCCTGTTATCTATCCTTCTGTACAAACTATTAGATAGAAAACTTTTTATAATTTTTATCTCCTTATTAAGAAACAATGTTACCTTGCTGAATAAACGTTGAGGAGGGCTACTAAGATGATTCTGGGAATGGAAGAATTATGTTTGAGGAGTAGGTTATAATCTTTTATTTTCTCTTTAAAAGAAGAAGGTTGATAAATGATCTTGTTAAATTTTGCAATATTATCTAGGGGAACAACAGAATGAAGCCCTCTAATTTCTTTGTGTTTTATTATGATGAAAGGACATGTTTTAAGACTTAGAAAAAAATGGTTAATCTCCAGGTAAGACATGGTGGGTTAGTCTACAAATAATACAATTTTTTTAACAGGGTGATTGAATTTTGAAATGATTTTCCATTGGATAAGTGAAGGTCAAACTTTTAGAGTACAGGAATAAGTATTTTCTGAAAAACAGAGGGTGAGTGACAAGTTTAGACAGGTCCAGATTATACCTTATTGTCCATATGTTATTAAAACTATGATAGCTTCTGAAGTATCTTGTCAGATTAACTGATGTCTGTAAACAGTTTCAGGTAGGTTTGTCTTACAATGGGAGATTTGATCAGTGTTATTACAGAGAAATCTGAAGTTGAATCAACTGACTGGATTTTCAGCTAAGAAAATAGAAACTGGACATATTGTTTAAAGTGAAGAACAATATTTATATTAAAAGTAAAAACCAACAACAAACATTCTTTATGCTTGTGTAGGACAGAGAACTGTTGGCTTCTACAGGTTCGGTGAATCAGTTAGCAGCTTTCATCTCTAGATGTTTTCCTGTCACCTGACTCATGTTAGAAATGAAATGGAATAGTTTGATTCCAATGCTCCTTACTTAATGGGGTTTACTCCTAATGACTAGAACTACTAATGTTTCTGGTCATCGTCAAAAGACATAGATTAAGTGCTAACCTATAGATATCATCTATTCAGCCAGCAAAGGACTTGTTGTTGACCTTTTTTTGCACAATGTTTGATGCTACAACAATAACTCCATGAACAGAGAAGGTATTATCTTTAAGAGAACAGCATAGGGACAAAGGTAGCTAGAACATTGAATCAAATGAAAGAAAGAAATGTTGAAAATTTCCAAATTAAAATAAGAAGATTGTAAATGCATAGAACCATATTAAGTACACTCTTGTATTATGTTTTGCAAGAATTATTTGAGAAATTTAAAATTATGTTTCATAGTTGTATTACAGTAGTGACATAATTTTGGCTGATATTTTTTAAAATGTAGATCCTAGAAGGAAGAAAGAAGTCAACTCATGTCTTCCTCAGAAGTTATCCAGTTCCATAACTGCTATATTCTGCGAGATCATAAGATTTTTAAAGAAGACTTATGGGTACGTGACAAAAAGATTATAAATCCTGAACCATTATTCTTTGTGGAGAAGAAACCATCCAACATTCAAGTAGATTGTCGTGGAGCCTTAATATCTCCTGGCTTCATTGACCTTCAAATCAATGGTAAGTTTGAAGAAAATGTGATAATTTTTTTATTAATGCTACAATAACAACTTCTGAAACAATGGAATTTAGTTTAAAATTAGATATGGTTAGGTGTCCATGTTATGCATTAGCTTGAGAATTTTCAATTTTACAGTTACTAAACCTTTGACAAAATTTATTATTTATTATATATATATATATAAGTTATTTTCCTTTGTGGGACATCAAAGAGCCTTTTGACCCATCAAAGATAAGTGTCTTTCAAAACATACTAACCTCCGCTGACACTATAGCTGTTTTTCAATCTCCCGGGTTTCCACTCTTTGCCCATCTAAGCATTGAAAATGCTTGCTTCAGTCTTTTATACCCAACTCGAATGCCCTTGGCAAATTCTAAGTTGCAAAATTTTCCACCAACTTCAGTGCGCCCTCTATCTAGGTGTTGTATATAAGGACCTCATTCACATAATGTAATCACTTTTTCTCGACAACTCATTCGCCACAGGTTTATATAAACAGGAGTGTTGTGATTATTCACAATTTACATTGGAACTTTGAACATGGTTGGCCTTACTATGGTTATATCTTTGTTTATATTTATAAATTACTTTAACAAAAACAAATAAAAATGTACCAAAGGATATGAATTCCTGAGTTAATGTTGCTATTAAGGAGGCTAACCAGACCTCTTCTCTTCCACCTCTGCTATCTTGTGTTTGTCAACAGCCAGCTGGGGAGAATTTAGACTCGTTTTTTCCGGCTTCCTCTTTTACTATGTCAGCCTCAACAGAGAATCATTTTGATCAGCCACCTCCGTCCCCTTTTTTTCACTTGGTTACTTGGGTTTGCGAGGTTTTGGGGGTCTTTCCCATTGCATTTGTCTCTACTCCTTCCTTGTTGGCAGAAAGGATGGCAAGTGATTACTTGGTTTTTCCTCCTCCTCCTGATATTGCTGTTTATGCTGGAAGATTTGCTGCTCAGTTACGAGATGGAATAGCTATGCCTTGTCTCCCAAATTTATTGGAACAGCATGCTTTGGCTTATCACTGTGAGAAGGAGGTATATTTAGATTCTCAATGGATGGACCCCCTTTTGGACCTGTGGGGATCTAGATTGGAATCTGTAATCACTTTAAACAGATCACAGTTGTCTCGGATTCGTATTACCCTCACAACTGTTCTAAGGTATTTATCTTCAATCCAACTTTTGTTTTAAACCTATCAACATTCCCCTCAGCAATTTGAGGATGAGTTGGGGATTTTGCTGACGTCTACCTCAGTCAGATTGTCTTCTTCAGTTGTTTCTTTGGTTTCCTGGCTGGTTTGTTATTGGGTAGAGATGCTTTGTTAGAAAGTGTTTGTTTACTATCTTCTGCCCTCAGCAGCGAGTTACGGGAAGCTCCTTTTCTCCATCCCATGTTGTTTGCCAGAGTTCCAGAGATGTTAGAATCATTAATTTATTTAGCTCATTTACATTCTTCTTTATCGTCATTGGCTTCTCGCCTTTTTGGTGCTAATTTGGGAGTGTCGGCTCATAGTGTTTCCCAACCTCCTTCTTCGGTTCCCAGGTCTGTTAGTTCCCATAATAGTGTCTGTGTGTCCATATTCTCATGAATCTTCGGCTCTGGCAGACCATCAACAACAGCATCAGTGACTATCCCAAGGGACCGTGATTTAATACTATATACATTAACTATTTCATCTGTTGTGTAGTTTAACTGCACTGTGGATTACAAATGTGTATTTGCCTGCGAGTTTTTAAATTGTAACAAGCTAAGGTACTCATTCTTTGCTCTGGTTTATACATTTTTGCTGTTTCTTGCCCTTATGGAGTTATAGAATAGTACAATGTTTACAAGGAATTAATGCTGTAACATCAGGTGTTTAGTGTCCAGAGTGTGTATATTGTTACATACATATCATAGTATGTTATTGGAATCTTGTGCCAGGAAATTACTAAATTTTTTTAACTGATGCATTCGTATCAGTTTTTTTCTAAATTTATTTATCGGAACTTATATGACGATGTGTGTACATTTCTCATTATATCAATAATGCTCTTTTATTTAGTAAAAACAGCATGTAGCCATTTTGAGATACAGCCTGGGACATACTAATGCACATACAACACATGTGTATAGGTGTCTTGTTACAAATAAATATTTTTTTTTGAATGCTTGCAATCATTAATCAGTTTAATGAATTAGTTGTGTTTTTCCCAAATGGAAAACTCTGGTTTGAATTTTGACTTAGAGATAGAAGTGGTATTTTCAAAAATTATAGATAAAAATAAGTATGATTTACTTACATAATCCTAAATGTTTATCTTGTAATTCAATAATTTTTTTCTTGCATTTTGTAGAGTTGAGTGCTTAGTGAAATTTGCTAATACATTAATCAATGGGTTCATTAAGTAAATTCTCAGTTTGGAATTCTCAGAATAGCATGATTTATTGGTGCTGTGATTTCTCATTTATAGATTTTTTCTCCTACCTACAATTGATATTGAAAATCAGAAAATTATAATTATAATCTCTTCTAGCTTATTAAGATGTCACAATATTTGTTCAACTCATATTGACATGCTTCTCCCATATCCTCTGTATTTTGAGTGTATGTAATTCTCTATTCTCTGACATAGCTATTGGTTATGTCCATAACTAATAGAAAGACCATGTTTTGCACTGCATAAATCACATGATCCTCTGTTTTGTTTTTGCTGTAAAGTCAAGAATTTGCTATTGTTGCTTGTTGGGTTTAAACAAAAGACATTGATCAGAGAAGTAATGAATATTTTTAAACTTGTATATGAATTAGTTAGGAAGCCAGATATAATAAAGTAGTTGTTGTACAATCTAATGTAGCAAGTGATATGATACATTTTGGTGTACAAAGTTTAGGTTTAAAGTTGTAATTTACTTCTAAATTATTGTGCCTGAAGTCTGAAGATGGTTTCCTTTGGCTTTTCATATTTTTTTTCCTTCTTGATAAAGTTTTTTGAGATACAAATTTTAAAGCCAATTTTAAATGTTAATTCTAGCTATATTTCAACAATTTTAACACAAAAGTATTTTAGAATCAATATTTTGTCATTTTTGACATTTATCTAGTGTAATTCACGAAGAAAAAAAAATACATTTGATATTCTGTAAACTTTCAGAGAATTTTGTCTGTAAAGAAACACTCATCTTGTTGATTTTTCTTAATATAATTTTTGTGTCCATCACAAAGAGTACTTATTATTGGTAAGAACCTATTTACCCCTTCAAAAAATATTATCCATTTCTTGATTTTCAAGCATTTCTCTTAGGTTTTGTACAGGCGTTGGTTGAAACCTTCTTATGGTACCACATCAAGTGATTTGATCACATACTAATGAAACACAGCTTTGAAAACAGCTATATAGAAAGTTTAAATATGATTGGATGGGTCAAATATTATACTATAATGTTATAGTTGAATATACACATATTTAAGTTTCTTTTAGTTCCTGTAAACTTTCCTTTCATTTGTGAGTTGTGAAAGTGTTTGTATGTTAAATTATATCTGTTTGAAAGCTAAAGAAATTTTCTTCACTGATAAGAAAGTAGGTAATTTTAGCTGATGTGGTTTTATACGTGGGTTGAATAGGTAACAAAAACAATTTTATTGCATTTTTTAACACAGCAACAAATTTACAGTGTTTGGAGATGGGTTTCTGCCATCATCAGTTACAAGTAGTTTATTTAAACAGGAATACATATGCTTATATACAGTATGGAAAGACTTCACGTGACTGAAGAATACTAAGGCTTAATAAAGGTATCTTATTGAAGTTAGGTTCTTTGTTTAAGATTACAGTGCCTTTATATTTAATAAATATATTATGATTGTATTAAGCTGCAATATTTGTAAACATGAGTATTTTTTATTAAATTTGCCAAATAAAATATACTCATTATCAATTTAGAAGTTTATTGTTTAGTGAGTATGGTAGGTGATGGCAAATATTCTGATGACTAAACTTTTTATTGAATATTCTTTCCGATATGGTACATTACCTTCTCACATAAATAGCTATTCTATTTGTTGCTGCTCTCTATATTCAAAAAGAAAAAAAAATTAATGCATGCCACAAGCCTTTTATCTCCCCTCCATTGGAATTGACTGATTCCAATGCGTCCCTCACGCAACTAATCATGCATCAACCCTCCAGCAATAAGAGTGTGACATACTCTTATGATGCCTGTCACTCCCTCTATTCAATTCTATTGAACTGTCGCTTCTTTTTTTAGCAGTACTCATGTTCAGATGTTTTCTTTTGGTCCACTTCATGTGAATTGCTTTTGTGATTTTAATCATTTAATTTCTAAAGTGGGATTTCTTCATTACTTTTTTCTTTACATTGAAGAAATCTTTAACTTACTTTCCTAGTCTTTATTTTTGTTATCACACACTCATATTTTACATCAAACACTTTTGTTTGACTTATGTATTTCTACAATGAATTCTGAGGTTCATATTCCCACTTCAGGTATCATACCTCTAGCATTATTTCACAGGCTGCAGGTGGGGGAGACTCATCATTGGATTTCTCTGTTATTATCTGCCATGAGATTGATTGTTATATAGATCAACCTCCATCTCCTGAACTTGCCCCACTAATCTTCCTGAATAAGTCGAACCTGTTGGGCCAATGAATATTTGGTAGCCCTCTTTTTCCACCGGATTTTGTTGTGTTTCTCCTACCTCTCCTCCAGAAAAAGCTAGGCCTGTTTTTCTATGATTACTTATTACCTCTATGTTGGCTCATTTGTCATCTTTGGCTCTGGCTTTACACATGTGATTTCATTGTAGTTGGGAGTTTCTGGATCATGATGCGACCTTATCCCTGGTACATTTGCTGCATCGTTCTTTTCGAGATTTCTGTATTTTTTCTTTGGTGATATGTTTTGATCATATACCTGAGAATTTGGAATCACGGGTGTAGTATGTGCATCAACCCTTTCCTCTTTGGTTGCATGTGGGACACAGTTGGAGC